CAGAAGCTACTGGTACACCAAGGCTATGTTAAAAAGAATTATCTCAAACAGTAGTAAATTGGCAGCATTATTAAAAGTGGGTGTGTGTGATGAGGTAAGATAGATATAATCATTCTTGGTGTTTATACTGCTTATCATTCTTATTTGTCAATACAAGCTGTGTGTGTGTGTGTGTGTGTGTGTGTGTGTGTGTGTGTGATGTGTTCATACATGCTTCTCTGTGTTCTACATCCACACGGTGTTCTTAATTATTTCTTCCCTTATAAACTCTGAGGGAAGTCATTAAAAGGGAGAAGGTGGTTTTCTCTGTGTTTTTTCTGAGGTACCAGCTTCTTCCATCTGTCTTTCTGTGTGGACATTTCTTCCCTCATTGCCTGCTTGATGAAATGATAGTGCGTGGAGATGTTTAATTTAATTAGTGGGAGGTAATGATAAGTTATGGGGATGGGAAAGGGGCACTGGGAGTGAATATGTTCATGGTTATTTCTCCAAAGTGTGAAATTATATATTTTTTACTTCTCTTGTTCTGTTTTATGCCCTTGCAATTGATGACTTTTTTTTTCTTTTCTTCCCTTCTGCCACCTACTATTTAAACACACACACACACACACACACACACACACACACACACACACACACAATTATCATCATATCATTTGCCTGCTTAAAAAGCTTAAGAGCTCTCTGTTGCCCAAAGAACAAAAGACAAATCCCTAGCAAAGCAAGTGTGGTCCCAGCTAGTCTTTCTAGTCTCCTCTTTCTGTCACTCTTCCCCATGTAACCTTTCCCCAGACAACTCTTAACACTTCCTTGATCCCAAAGCTGGGTAAGCTTTAGCCTGCCTCTGACTATCACAGAGTGCTCTCTCGGTAGAGTGACAAATGCATTCTCTTCCTTCACAGCTTGGCTCAAATGTCATCTTTATAAATCCTTCACAACCTCCTCAGGCAGATTTAATTGTCCCCCCTTTGGGTCCCTGACATTTTGTATGCCCCTTCATTACAAATGCTCTTGTAATTACTTGTTTAGTCATCTGCTTTCACCATTAACTTCTGAGTTTACTAAGGGCAGGAACTCTGTTTTATTTATCCACGAATGCCCCATCCCTCAGTGGGTAACATAGTTCCTATTTCAGAATTGCTTGCTGAATGTATTGACTTAATACCGTTGTGTGGCATTTTAGAAGTAAATGGAACTAGATTGAATTTCTGAATAATATTTGCACTCAAACTCCCATAAATAAATAGATTCATCGTTTTCCTCCTACTCTTTGCTCTTCATTGTTAGTTTACTTGAATTTTATTAAATAAATTGCAGAGGTCACAGCCCTGGAAAAGGCAGGACCAAATACAGGTAAAGGGAACTTAGGTGGCAGTCCCTGGAACCTAGTACGTAAGGACTTTCTCTAGTGAGAGCTGCTGAAGGAGGGCCATCAAGGAAGTGCTCCGTGCAGCTAGATGGTTTATGCCGGAGAGGAGCATAGCTCTTCACCTGATAAATCACTCTTACTGCTTCAACAGGAGATGAGTTTTCTTTCAGACTAAACACTTGATCATATTCTTCCAGTTCTGGTGAGCACTTGGGTTCAAGTGTCAGGTATTGCCTTTTTATACCTATGGGAGCCATTTTTCTTAATGTTAGTATACCCTTGGAGTTCATCTAGAATTTCATCCTTGTTCTATGAGACATATGTAGCCCACTTAACTGAGCTCCAAAATTATGCCAGAATGTCAATCCAAACTCTACAACCAATTCAAGATATTAAAATCTTTCTGGGAATGACTTCTAAAGTAGTCTACAAATAATCCTTGCTGAAGCAGTGAGGAGTTTTGAGTGAGACTGATTAATGTGTTGAAAATGTAACATAGCCTTATTCTCTATGCTAGAAATATAATTATCTTCATCAGATATGATAATAGAAAATTCTTTGTGTGCTATAGTTAATTATAGGTTAAAATGTCCTAAAGATAAGTTCTCAATTTCCTCATTGCCCCCATAAAAAGCCTATTCATTTTAAGGCTCTCTTTGTCTTAATTAATGGCAATTCTACTTTTTCTTCTAGGAATAGAAACTATGGAGTCATCCTTGACTCTTTCCTCTCGCACATCACACATTTAGTCTGTCAGCAAATTATGTTTTCTCCCTCTTTAAAATATACCAGAAACCAACCACTTTTAACTATCATTTCTCTTCTCATGATTCAAGTAGTTAAGTATTCTCGCAATGGTTTTTTAACTGGTCTCCACGATTCTGCCTTTGCCCAGGCCATAATCAGTAGGACAATAAAATGTGAAACAGTTAAAACAAGTCAGATCATGTCACTCCTTTGCCTAATATCACACAGGGGCTTCCTGTTTGATACTAAGTAAAAACCAAAGTCCTTTTAATGATCTATAAGATCCTATAGAGCCTTCACACACACATATACACCCTTTAACTCTGTGACTACTTTTTTCCTCAGTCATTCTGCTTTCACTCTGATAGGCTACCTATTGTTTCTTAGACATGCTGGATACACTCCCATCTCAGGGTCCTTGCACTTGATATGACTCCTTCTGGAGGGCTCTTTTCCAGATACCTGTTTTACTTGTTCCCTCATTTTGTTCAGGTCTTTACTTAAGTCACTTAAAGTTCACCTCATTGAGACATTTCCCATTTAAGATCGCAACTTCCCACTGACTACCTCCACCACCTCCTTACCAAACCATAACCAAAGCAAAACTCTATTCTCTTTCCTCTTCATTATTCTCTGAAGAATTTATCATCTTCTAGTATACTCTGCATCTTACATATCTCGTTCTCTTCCCCCTACTAAAAAGTGATTTTCACAAGTGTAGGGATTTTGCCCATTTTTTGAACAATTTTATTCTAAGTGCCTGGAACAATTCTTAGTACATGGTAGCCCTTCAGTAAGCATTTGTTGAAGGAAAACTATAATCTCAACATACTTGCCTAGTTTTATGTACCCAGTGGTTAATAAGCTTTAGGCATGAATTGTTCTACAAAGCAAGATAATGTACCATTAAAAGTAGGAATTTTAGGGCCGGGCGCGGTGGCTCAAGCCTGTAATCCCAGCACTGTGGGAGGCCGAGGCGGGTGGATCACGAGGTCAAGAGATCGAGACCATCCTGGTCAACATGGTGAAACCCCGTCTCTACTAAAAATACAAAAAATTAGCTGGGCGTGGTGGCGTGTGCCTGTAATCCCAGCGACTCAGGAGGCTGAGGCAGGAGAATTGCCTGAACCCAGGAGGCGGAGGTTGCGGTGAGCCGAGATCGCGCCATTGCACTCCAGCCTGGGTAACAAGAGCGAAACTCCGTCTCAAAAAAAAAAAAAAAAAAAAAGTAGGAATTTTAGAAAGAGTTTTGATCATTGGTTTTAAGGTTTGTTGTACATGTTTGATATAAGCTCCATACCTTTCTATGAAGCAGAGATAGGATTTTCCTAAAAGTGTTCTTGGTCCTGGATTTCTTTGATTCACAATATAGATTGATACATACCTGCTGATAAATGCTCCTCCCTAACAGCACGTCACCCAGGATGATAATGTTGATACATTTGGTATGGAGAGAAAAACTGTGAGCCAGGTGCCAAAGTCTCTGTCACAGTTAGCAATGAGACTTAAGGAAACCCAGCTTATCAAGAAATGCAAAAGTCACTTGAAAATGGTCAAAGTAAATTCATAGAACATGTTTGAAAGCAGTGTTTTGGTAAATGGAAAACTGACTCCAGATTGGAAAAGTGTGTTGTGAATTTTAATATTGTATAGGGAAAGTGTAGCCTCTTATTCCAGCAGAGTACAATAGAGTATAATGAGACAGATAATTTAGTCGATAATCAGGTGATTGTGACAACCCAGGATAATGAGTGTCAATATGCCAGAAAGAGAGAGGCAGGAGAAGTCCTCACTGCAAAGTGATAGCACAAGTACAGTATTTTGGATAACAATAATAATGATAACAAAGATATTTAAATGGAATAGCCTTAAGTTAGGATAATTATAATTCAGTAGTATTATCCTGAGAGGTGGCAGAGAAATCTAAGTAAGCTATTCAGGGCTAATTAGGCACCTTCTGTTACTTTCCTCATGCCCTTTTCCTTCCTTCCCTTCCTCAGTGTGGTTCTCAGTGTCCTGGAGGGGCTAGCCTGCTGAAATCTCCCACTACTTTTACAGGGCATCTGGCAACAGCTCACTATTCTCAAGTAGCAAAATTGCCTGGACAGGGATTATAGTATTTAATTGCTAAATCTGTGACTGGCTAATTGCATAGATGCTTGAGTTGGGAGGCCCGGACAGGACAACCGACTCTTCAAAATGTGATATTTAAAAATTTCATTCTGGATAAGAATGTAAAATCTGTGGTTTTACGTTAGTTGTGTCCCATAATATGCCGGACAGCATAAGTTTCAGAGATTTCTTTGTTCTGGCTCCTGCTTTTTGTGAGGTGATAGAGTTTTAAAAGTCTTGCCAAAAAGGCAGATGTGGCAGAGGTGAAGCCATTTTTTTGCTACTTTCTCTTTCCTATTGTCTTTCCCCAGAATCTAGTGATAATTTTACCTATACATACCCTTCTAAAATCTATTATGCAGAGATAGTAAGTTTTGAATCGTATACTGTCTATGGTTCTCTAAACATACTGGTCCCTGCACAAAATTATCTCGTTGCTTTTCATAAGTCATCCCTTATGTTTTTTTTGTTATATAAGTAATGAATTTTTTTAACTTTTATTTAAGTTCAGGGGTACATGTACAGGATGTACAGGTTTGTTACTTGGGTAAACATGTGTCATGGAGGTGTGTTGTTGTACCGATTCTTTCTTCACCTAGGTATTAAACCTAGTACCCATTAGTTATTTTTCTTGATCCTTTCTCATTTCCTGTCTGCCTCCCTCCATTAGACCCCAGTGTGTGTTGTTCCACTCTGTGTATCCATGTGTTACTCCTATTATTTTTTAAAGGTGTTCTTTATTGAGGATGATTAACATCCTCACTAACAATAGACTTTTCCTTTTAAAAGATGGTTTCACCCTTAACTTTTTATATGTGCTTGCTAAAAATTTCTATATTTGAATTTTAGAAGATGGCATTTATTTAGTAGGAGGCGATTTATCTTTCCTATTGCTAATGATCCTCAGCTTATGACATAGGATCCACCCAACTCTTTTAATTAATACTTTTGAATTCACATGTCTCTACCTGGTAGAATTTAATTGACTCAGTAGGAAAAATGAAAAAAGTATTGACAACAGGCGATGGCCTGCTTGGTTTCTCCTTTTGAAAATCTGAGGTAAGGACCTTGACTGCCAGTAATGAAACCAACCATCTAGATGTGCAAGTTTTCACCAGGCACCTTGCTTTAGGAAGTTCTAGCCATGATCTATTACTCCATTGCCTGGAGCAAGAAGTTCATGGAGAAAAAGTCTCTGAATGTTCAGCCAATTTAGCAGTTCATGGGTTGAGTGTTCTGAGATATTTCAGGATATTATGTGCAAAATTAAAATTTGTGTGGTCACTGCCCAAGAATCAGCATCATTAAAGATGACAGGACCAAGAAGTAAAAGACTGGGCAAAAGAGCTTGAATAAAGTGAGGAAATCAGTAAGCATGAACAGCCAAAACATAAGAATCTTCAAGATCATTGTCCCTTTAGATCTAATCTAAGCCTATCCCTCTGATTGATCCTTCTCAGGCTTTCTTTTGGGGCTTCTTTTCCTCTATCCATCTCTTAATATTGCATTTCAGAGTTTTATCTTCAGTCCACTGTTCTTCATTTACTCTCTATGTTTTACCTGGCTGAAAATATGTCTGTTTGTGTGTGTGTGTGTGTGTGTGTGTGTGGCAGAATAATATCCTTCCTCCCCACGAGATATCCACATCTTAATCCCTAGGATGTGGGACTATGTTACTTTATAGGGTAAAAGAGATTTTGCAGATGTGGTATTAAAGACCTTGAGATGATAAGATTAACCTGATTATCTTGGTGGGTCCAGTCTAATCCTATAACTCCTTAAAAGCCAAAGAAAGAGGCAGAAAAAGTGGTTCAGAGAGATGAGGTGGAAGAAGAAGGGGAAAGAGTTGAAGTGTGAGAGGAACTCCACCTGCCCTGCTGGTTTTGAAGATGGAGGAAGGTGGCCATGACCCAAAAGCATAGGTGGCCTCTTTAAAGGCTGGGAATGATCCTCAACTGGCAGCTTGCAAGGAAATGGGGATCTCAGTTCTACGACTGCAAGGAACTGAATTCTGCCAACAACCCACATGAGCAAGGAAACATACCTTATCCTGGAGCCTCCAGAAAAGAATGTAACCCTGCTAACACCTTATTTTAGTCCAGTAACATCCTTATTGTACTTCTAACCTGCCGAACTATCAGGTAATAAAATTCTGTTGCTTAAGCCACTAACTTTGTAGTACAATTATGGGAGCAATAGAATATTAATACCACATATATTCTCTCTTTTCTTGTCAATGTCAGTTTATATTAAGCTACTCAACAGTGGAATGCAGTACAGCAGAAAGAAAAACGTGTGGTCTGTGTAATTAGACAGAGCTGAGTTTGAATCTTGCTTCTGTTACGTCTTCACTGAATGACTTTGAGAAATACTTTTTTTTTTTTTTTTTTTGAGATGGAGTTTTGCTCTTGTTACCCAGGCTGGAGTGCAATGGCGAGATCTCAGCTCACCACAACTTCTACCTCCCAGGTTCAAGTGATTCTCCTGCCTCAGCCTCCCGAGTAGCTGGCATGTGCCACTATGCCCAGCTAATTTTATATTTTTAGTAGAGATGAGGTTTTTCCATGTTGATCAGGCTGGTCTCAAATTCCTGACCTCAGGTGATCTGCCTACCTCAGCCTCCCAAAGTGCTGGGATTACAGGTGTCAGCCACCACACCTGGCTAAGAAAATGCCTTTCTGAGCTTGTTTGCTTGTTTCTTTTCTCTAGAAAATGGCAGTAATATTAATACTAGCTTTGTGTGTGTGTATATGTGTATGTATGTGTGTGTATTAAATGAAATAACACATGTAAAATGCCTGGCATGTGGTAGAAGCTTAATAAATAGTAGTGATTAGTATAAGAAAAATTAAAGCCAACATTCCCATATCTTAGGTATCAAAGAAAGCATCATACATCGAAAAAGCAAGCAATAAAAGATAAAAATAAATTAGACGTCATCAAATTAAAAACTTGTTTCTTTTGTTTGCTTTTTATTTTTATTACAAATTTTTTTGTTTCAAAGGCCATGATCAAGAAAGTGAAAGACAACTCATACAATGGGAAATAATCTTTGCACATAATAAAACTGGTAAGAGACTTCTATCCAGAATATATAAAGAACTCTTACAATTTCACAATAAAAAGACAACCCAATTTAAATATAGGCAAGGGATTTGAATAGGCATTTCTTCAAGGAAAGCATGCAAATGTATAATAAGCACATGATAAGATGCTTACTATCGTTAGTAATTAGGGAAATGCATATCAAAGCACAATGAGATACCACTTTATACCCACTAGGTTGGCTATAATTTTTAAAAATGGAAAATAAGTTGACAAAGGTGTAGAAAAATTGGATGCTTACTAAGTTTTGGTGGGAATGTAATATGGTGCTGCCACTGTGGAAAACAGCTTGGTGTTTCCTCAAAAAATTAAAGAGAATTACCATATGACCCAGCAGTTTCTTTCTTGGGCATATACTGAAAATTATTGAAAACAAGTGTTTGAACAAAAACTTGGACATGAATGTTTACAGCAACACTGTTCACCATAGCCAAAAGGCAGAAACCAACCAGATGTCTATCAACTGATGAATGGACAAACAAAATGTGGAATATTTCTACAATGGAATATTATTCAGCCATCAAAAGAAATGAAATACTGATACATGGATGAACCTTGAAAAAACTATGCTAAGTGAAAGAAGTCAAACACAAAAAGTCATGTATTATGTGATTCTTTTATATGAAATATTCAGAATAGGCAAATCCTTAGAGACAGAAAGGTTAGTGGATATCAGGGACAGGGGATTGAGGCGTGACTGCTTAATGGGTATGGATTTCCTTTTAGGGTGATGAAAAAGTTCTGGAACTAGATAGGTAATGGTGGTTGTACTACATTGTGAATGTACTTAATGCCACTGAATTTGTACATTTGAAAACAGTTAAAATGGTAAATTAAGGGCTGGCACCTGTAATCCCAACACTTTGGGAGGCAGAGGCGGGCAGATCATGAAGCCAAGAGATTGACACCACCCTGGCCAATATATTGAAACCCCGTCTTTACTAAAAATACAAAAATTAGCTAGGCATGGTGGTGCGCACCTGTAGTCCCACCTATTCGGGAGGCTGAGGCAGGAGAATTGCTTGAACCCAGGAGGCAGAAGTTCCAATGAGCTGAGATCACGCCACTGCACTCCAGCCTCAGGACAGAGCAAGACTCTCTCAATAAAAAGATATATTAAGTTTCACTGTAGATAGTCAGGAAATGGTAAGGAATAGTCAACTTATTTATATGTGTGCTGAACTAGGATCAGTGAGTGAAAGAATTTGAGAAATCTTAGAATAGGTAAAACTGAACATGGATGGATAATGACTTTATAGCATATGGAGAAATAATCCAGGCATGGGATTTAACTTGGATGCTATCATGATTTAGTATCTTTGTTTTTATTTAAATGGTCAGATTTGAGAGTAAATGAGGTTCAGCCTAATTTTCAGTAATTCCTCACCTTAGTGAAGGGCTTATATCAAGGATTCACTTGAAGGCAAAGTTTTGGAAAAAATTACAAGTATTGATCCTTAATTTGGCACCAAATGATAAAAGCCAAATGAATCCCCCATAGCAGACAAATCATTCTCCTCTTTCTAAGCGCTATTTCTTATCTGCTTCTTCTGTCTCACTTTCCTTCTAGAAAAGTCACTAGGTGATCATTTAGGATTAATCACAGAAATAAAGAAAAATGAAAGCAGGAAGACTTCAGGGCAATTTTGATTGGTATAGAAAGCAACATCACCCCTTCGGTCATAGGGTTATCTTTTCCTCTCTCATAATTCTGCTTGAGATGACTTATATTTTAAGGTTTTAAATCAATCTCATTTCTGTTTGATTTGTCATCTTGCACGTTTAATAGAAACTGCTTTTCTCTTATGAAAATAAAAGCAGTTTGGTGTATTTCCTCTAGACATTTATAGTCATCATCTTCATTTACATTATAGAAAATTCCTTTCTTTTCCTACTAATAAAAAGTAAAAGAAAGCAGACAAGGTTGTTTAACTACAGTAGTTTTAGATATTATTATAAAGAATTGCCTGCCTGGGGATGGGAAAAGTCGTAATGTTGAAATATCAGAAACTTCCTTAGAAACGTACATATATGGAGATTGTTATTAGCCTTGAACAAACTAGATGATGTCTTTCTGACCCAGAATGTTAGCCCATTGTTTTTATTTACTTAAAACTTTAAGTTCCAGCTGCCTAATTAAAGAAATGACAATAATTCCAGACATTCTCCTAAGCACTTTACATGTACTAACTCACTTAAACCTCACAACACCTCTGTGAGGTAAATACTACTGTTAGTCTCATTTTACAGCAGAAATGAATTAGCTAGAAAGGCTTTTTTACTTTAGCTTAATGTAATCTCCTTATCCATACCATTACTTATTTATTTCATCACTGTCCCTCTTCCACGTTTCTTAGATCTCTTGGTCTAGGTTTTCAATGTCTAGAGTACAAAAGAATTGATTTTGAAAATTAGTAATGTCGTAAATGTATGACTCTAGAGCTGAGGTATTTAGAGATATGATCCACTGTCATGGAAAGTAGGTAGTATTTGGGGTTGATAGTTCTGGTTGGGCATATGCAGTGGACACATGGGCATTTCTTGGAGGGTTTAGGATTATTTGGATCTAATGAGGTAAGTGGAAAAAGAAAATATTGAAGTGTTGTGGTCTTTGCTGAGTGTTCCTACTTTAAGGCCTCTGCAGAAGAGATTTCTTTACCTATTCAATTTTATAAGGCTTTC